TGTTTTGTTTTGTTTTGTTTTGTTTTGTTTTGTTTTGTTTTGTTTTGTTTTGTTGTTTTTGAAGCCTCCGTTGAAATGAAATGGAGCCCTGGCCTCATTTCTGGCTCCTCTTGGAAAGCCGGAGCCAACCCCAGGGCTGGCAGAGTTGGGATGAGCCACGGATTAGCCATTGGGAGGTTGCGGTCTGAACCCCCCGACCCTTGATGGACTGCTCCTGAGCAGCTCTGTGACCCTGGGCAAATCATCACTTCTCCACCAGTGGCAGGACATCAGGATGCCCGGCTCTCGGGTTGTCAGAAACACGAGCATCGGTGTCTGAGCCCTTCAGCATGTGTCACACGGGCACTGAAAAGAAAGCCTGGCCAAGGTGGAGAGCGGAGCGAGGAGCTGGGCCGGGGGGCACTTTGTGCTTGGGTACCCCCACCCCCGGCTGCAGGTTTCTGTGCAGCCAGCCCGGTTCTTTGTTGATTTGTATAACGAATCAGCGGGGTGAGTGAGCATGTGTGTGTGGTGGGGGGGCCGTGGGAAGGGAGGGAGGAGAGGACTAGGCGGCTAGCCCCACGATTGTAGAGGTGTGGGAGTGCCAAGTTTCCAGATGGGCCTAACTACTGTAAGGAACTTCCCAGGGGGGGAAGAGAAACCCTCTGAATTCACCCTCATGCTGCTCAGTAAGACAAAGGAAGAGGCACCCTAAATACTCAGCCCTTGGACACCCTGTTGTTGTGGCCAGGTGCCGTTTGCCTCTCGAAAATCTGCTCCAAGGCCAGCCAATGGCACGCGGTCCTTCCCCTATTTCCTAGGTAACCGGCAAGGGCATCTTCCTCCTCCTTCCCCGAATGGTCTTGTTAGGGCCATCTTCTCCCCTTCCCCCTTTCTATGGTCTGTCCTCGTTTTGATTCCTGGAATGTAGAACACAGAGGGCAACTCAGAGGATCCTTGAATTTGTGAAGTCAAAGACTGTTGGGAGGTCATGCCTGCCATTTCCCTGAAAAGCACTTCATTTACCAAATATTAATCAGATTAGAATGTACATCATGCCGGG